GACTTCAGTCTGCCTAGGCTCCAGGTTTTTTTCTGAATTACTGCTTGTAAAGCATGTTCATATTTTCAGTGCCTCTATGAAATTTTCCATAGTGTTTATACTGTGGAAAAGAAAGCAAAAACTGTGGAATCCAGTATTTCTATATGCAAAGCTTAGAAACTTCAGGATTTTCAAGGGTGTAATATGCTTATAGTGCTTTTTATATATGTTTTTATATATATATTAAAAGATCAAGTTTGTTTTAGTTGGAGATATGAACACTTGCCATTTCTGCATATCTGGCTTTTGATCTCTGACAGAGCATGCAGAAATGCATGAATAAGGCCTAGCTATGGAGAATCTTCATCTAATTTTCCCAGCACCATGTAAGAGCAGAAGAAAGAAAAGAGTTGAGCTCTGTGCTGGCATTCCTAACAAAATGACTAGACTGCGGGGACATACGAATTAATAAGTAAACTCTTAACTCTAACCTCAAGTGGTTAAATACTTATTCTTAGACATCCATCCAAAACTTATCCCGGCTAGCCTGTATTGCCCTATTCCGTAAAATCATTAATGTCCCTTGGTTAAGGGGGCAGTGAAAGGGCTTCTCTCTCTTTCTGGTATTTTCCCCATTAATATGTTCACATAGTATCACTAGCTTTAGGTGGGCCTGTAGGTTTTCGTATAGGTACCTTCTCTGCTGAAAAGTAGTTCTTCATTATAACTTAAATAACACAACAAAAACTTTAAAAATTCTGGAGAACTGAGCTTCAGCCTAATTTCATGTTTCCTGGATGTCAAGACGTATTCCTCCCTTTGGGAAATGCTGTGTATTTCTTGTTTGGGCTTAGATGCCAAGACCTTTAAAATGCAGGCTTTAATTAGTTTGTTACTTTCTTTAAACTTTGTCTGTTGTTGTTGTTTTTGGTGGTGAAATTCCAAATAACTTTATCTTTTAAGCCACCTTCATCTTTCTGAACTAATTTTAAAAAAAGAAAATAAAGAAAACTGCTTAGAGAAGCACAGTGTTCTTTTACAGGAAGCAGATGCTGGACTGATTTTTATCAAGTCCGTAATTATCCAAAATGTTATAGAAAGTAATTAGAGGACTGTATCAGGTTCTTGCTGCTGTAGTAAACTTAACTGATCTTTAATCCTAGGATCTTTCTTGACTCTTTTAAAAGTAACTATTCTTAATCTTATAGTATTCCTTGGGAGGGAGGGGGCACTTTCTATATACTGTAACATATAGGCATGCAGAAATGCCTGCAAGATATTTTAGCAACATTTTGGAACTGGCTGAGAATCTTTTTGGAATGTGAATTTGATTGACCCAAGAGGTTAAAGCTTCATTTAATTTTGACTCATAAACTTTGACTCATAAAGATTGGCAGCTGAGGCATTTTTGCATTTTACACCCAAGTAAGAGGAAACTTTGACCACTCATTATTAGGGTTGGACACGTCATGGAATTTGATTGTGAGGACTTACCAGGGGCCCTCCAACATCTGAAAGATCTGACACATCTGGGAAGAGCTGGTCTCTTTATGCCCTTTAAAAATGCGAATATGCAAGGGGTAACATGAAACAATTCAATACTAGGAAATTTATCTCATGAGATGTGGAGTATTTTTTTTAGAGTTTTGTTTACTTTCTCTTTTTAAAAAATTTTGTGTAATTAGTACAAAGCTATTTTGTAGTGACCTATTGACCTCCTTTAATTTTTTTTTTGTGGGAACAGTGCAATTCCTAAATGGCTTTACGCCATTTGCTTTTCCACAGCCATGCAAATACTGTACTCTGCTGAAATCTTGGAGGCAAAGACAAAGCTTTTAATTAAATATTGCAACTAACAAGACAGTCTTTAGTAGTTGTGACTATTTTCCTCTGAGTTTGATTATGTGAGAAATACCTAGTAGCATAGAATAAGTCAAAATATGGATGTTAAAAATAATTTACAGTCCTCTGAAGTACTCTGACTTGTTCTTGATTATCCTACTTTGAGTCTCTCTTGGGATTGCCCAGCTGCATTTCAAATTGAATTGTTAATGTGGCCTGTATCCAATAAACTACTGTACTGGCTAAAGGAGAGAGGGAGAAAAAAATTCTCCATTTTGTAAATATTTTGAGGCTTCAAGGTGGCTTTCTTCTTGCAGTGAGAGGCTGATACTCATTACTTGTCCCAAAGTAGTTCATTGACAGTCCTGTAGGTAGGGTCACAATTTTTCATTCTTATTCTTCATCTCATGTTTTCGGTTCAGTTGCTCCTCTTCTACTGAAGAAAAATGGCATATACGATGTCTTGCTGAAAAAGAAAATTGAACCAAATAAGCATGCAGTCTTTGTTCTGTAATAAACAGATCTAAATTTTGGTAATGCAGCTTTGTTTCCCACCCAGAAGTCACAACTGAAAAAGAGTTCCCATCTGACATCAAGCATGCTAAACAGTTCAGGTGCAGTTTGATGTTCTTCTCTCTGCATTTGGGCAATTCCACAGCATTGGGAATGTCTAGTATCAGGTCTAACAAGCCTCTTGTGCCTTCGTTGTTGCTAGTCCCTGAAAGGAGCTCAGAGTAGAGAATGGTTTTGGAGAAAATAGTCCCATCTGGGAAGATGCAATTCAGTGAGTTTTTAGAAGGCACAGGTGTGGACATGGTGCTGTTAGCTGGGAGGCTGTCTGATGGTGAACTTCAGGTTTTACAAGGCAGGCAAGACAGCTGTGATAAATTGGCGTAACCATTCAGAGGATGTACATGGGAGGAATTCCACCTACTCTTTTCCTGGGTGAGAAGCTGGATGTGAGAGCAGTTTATTTTGTGAGAGTCTGATGTCTTAATTCAGGCAAAAGGCATGCTGGTTCTTTCAGTGTTTGACTGCTGCTGCGTAAGATACAGGGAGCTCATTCTTTCTCACCAGGCAGCATTTGTTTTAAATGCTAAACTGTTGTGATATTTCAGCAATTACCAGTGAGTGTAGAGTGCTGGTCTCTCACTTTCTTACTCATGATTCCTTTTCAGGAGGAGGAATGCATTATGTATTCCTGTAGTTGTGCTTTTAGAAAGATTTCTCTCTGTGTGTCTTTAAGATGTAAGTGTTGGCACACAGCTGACCTGGGGTAAGAATTTTAAGGCTGCATTAGTGTTCAGTAGTCTTGGAGCAACGTAACTGAATTCTGCGTAAGGTGCATTAGTTCCATTTCAAATCTTCTCTCTGCAAGTTTTGCCAGTAAGCATGCTAACCTGTTACAATTTGTCATGTGTACCATAATTTCTTATAGGAGGGCTAGTGGGCTGGTGGGTTTTTCTTCCTTTGAGTTGGTATGCCTTAATTTATATGTTAAAACCTGTTTCTTAAACGTTCTAAGTTTTTGTTTCACAACTTTCAGTATACTTCCTAGCTTGATGATTCTTTGATCTAATACATCAGTTAAGATTAAATACTTTTTGTAGGCGTTAATAGATACTTTTAAATGGTGCTGCTGAGTAAGCTTTGGGAAGGTAATGACTTGAAATGCCTGAGGAGGTCTTGAGAGGTGGGTTGGTGGTTTTTTTTTTTTTCTTTTTTTTTTTTTTTTCCCCCTGTTGCCACACATTATATAGAATCTTAAGCGATCTGTTCTTCCTCTTGCTGTGCTTTCTCCTGCCTGTGGAAGTGAAATAATTATATAGATTTCTTGAGACTGGGTAATATGTCTTTAAACAGCAGTGATAACAAAAAAGGTACTTAGGTTTTGGGTGAAACCTTTGTTATAGATCTTCTGTTTGTTAAAAATACATTGTCTGCTATATAAATCCTGTTATTTTTATTTACATGTTAATATCTTGGCTCTAGGAGGGTTATTTTCATCATTTTGATAACTTTTTGGAGGAATTTCAGATCTGCTTCATGGTCTTGCTTCAGTCTCTGCTAAAGAACTGGCAGATTAACAGATTTTAAAAATCATTATTGAGGTGGACATTTTTAGATGAATGAGTCATATGTACAATACCCACATTTGTTCCAGTTCTAGAACTGGAACACTAAGTGGAAAGTAAATCACCATAAGGTTCAAAAGACATTCTGACTTTTTTCTTAAGTCTTGCAGATGCTCTCTTCTACTGAAGTTGCTGAGCTTTAATGCATGTATCTTTTGTTGTGAGACTACTCCTCAAGCATACCCATCTTTTGTTGCCATCTGGTGGCAAAAACAATCCTCTAACAGAAAATGAAAAAATTATAAAAAGAATTTAGATTGATATTTCAGCTAACACAAATGATCTTAGAGACTTCATCAGCAAGTCTTCAAGGACAAAAACTAGAAAGGTGCCACAGTGCCAATAGCAGGGGAGGGACTGGGCATTTTGCAGGGGGAAAGGAAGACAGTGGCTGCCGTTTTCTGGATCCCACTCTCTGGCAGCTGCTCCTTCAGATGACGAACAAGGATGCTGTAGAGACCAGTAAATATGTGGGAGGTGCGAACCCCAAAAGCTACCACTATGGGGAAAAGGTGGTAGTGACTGGTGACCCTTTCCTGAGACAGCGAAAGACTCATCACCCAAATAGGACTTATATGCTGGAAGAGGGATAGCACTGCTGGTCTGAACTGCTAAACCTGAACTTAAGCTGTTAGTGTAAGGCTGCAGAGACTGCAAATCTTCCTTTGCAACTGCAAATCTTCCTTGCTGCTGTCTGTGTGTGTGTGCTAGTAATAGTGCTTGGAGTAACCTGAGCTGATCAGCAGTGACTGCTGAGGTCTGGCAGCATGGATTTGAGGGCTCAGCCAGTTCTCCTATCAGCGCCCTCAAACAGGGTATGGGCTTCAGCTCATGTTGGGACAAATAAATTGTACCCACGAATACTTGGTTTTACAAGTGGTTTTGCCTGGAAGGTTTTGTTTCCTTGATCCCAGGTTGATGCTCAGTGACATCAGGAAAGATGGAATCCCCTCATTGAAAGACTGGAAAATGGCTCTGTATTTGCCCATCTTCAAAAAGATAATAAAGAAAAGTGACAGAAAAATCAGTCAAAATTCACGTTTAGGAAAAAGAAATCTGTAATTAGTTATTAACCAACAATCTGAAAGGTAGTTGAGATTAATAGCAGCCAACACAAATTCATCAAGGGAAAAAACCCTGTCATATCAGTCTAATTTTTTTTTTTTTATTACAGGGTAGCAAGCTTGTAAATAAAGGTGTGGTAGGTGTCTTTTATCTTTGGTTCAGTAAGGGTTTTTAAATTATCTTACGTATTTCTAAGGGCTGTTCCGCGTCTCATCACATGGTGTACCTAACTCGGCTCTCTTTAGCTTAGAGACAGATTTATGAAAGATCTCAAGTGTGTATGGAATTTAAATGGTTGGAAAACAACAATGGCTATTTATTGTTAATAACAATATAACATTGTGCTAGATTAAACATAAAAGCATAGGGAGAAATAACTCACAGGAAAAATGAGGAGCATTTAAAAAAATGTTATCCCATAACACTTGTTTGTATTATTTGTTTAATTTAATCAAAATTGAAGAGAGAAATAATCATTTATCATGACACTTGTGGTTGGATACACTGAAGAGAACTATGCTATGGTAGCTTTTTCATTCTATGTTATCCAAGGTGCTTTGAATGAGTCGGGGGGTGAGGAGTGGGGAAGTATTTTACATGCAAAGACAATGTTTTAACTTTTTATCTGATTGTTCTTTCTCTTAACCTAACTTCAGTTTTATACAGAAAATACATGTCTGAAAACTATACATTAGGCAGGATCACTTTTTCTTGTCTGGCTTCGTGTCCATTCCCACAAAAATGTAAATAAAATGGTTTTCCTAGTATTCTTCTGTGCATGAAAGGTGAAAACTGAAGATTGCATTAAAGCATGTGCTTATCCAGTCTGGCTTAAAGGCATCATTGCCAAGGACAGGCTAAGGGCTGAAAGGAGCAAAACAAAGCGCTGCTTGTTCATTTGAATTTTTATTCCGTAGGCTGTGTGTGGCACCACAGGTTATGAACCGTTGTAAAGTCTATTCCTTCAGAACTAGTGGGATCACAGATGTCACTGGGAAGAATGAGCTGTTGATAAATATTAACACAACTGAAAAGTAGTAAACATTTTCATTTGAATTACCTTGAAGCCATTTCAGATAGGGACTCTTTCTGTTACTGAGTGTTAAGTGGAACAAAAAGAAAAGCTTCCTTGACTATCAGCTGAGTCAGTCAGCTGATTACCACTAGGCACCAAGTATTAATTACTGAATTTTGAAATATTTTTCTGAGAAAATCTGATGAACCACTGAAAAAAAAGGTAACTAAGAAGAATACATTTTATTTAATGCCAGGAGCAGTGCGTGAAGAACTGGGACAAAATAAGAACGACTTGTCAGTTCTTTTTTTCAGTAGGTAGCTATTTCCCAACTTTGAGATGACGAATTTTACAAATGTGAATTCTCAAATGTGCTAGAGCAACTGAGATATTTTATTTTGTGCACCATATTATCTTTCACTTTGAAATACTTGAATATTCCTTGTTTTTTTAATAAACAGTTGATAATGAAACATACAAAACCCCCATTCGTTGTCATTTTGCTGTTAGAGCTAAAAAGGAATATGAGATATTCTGCAATTCTTAAGTTGTCAAAAGTAAGATGGACGTTTTGTTAGGTGCTCCCTTATTTTTAAAATAAGAGATGTATTATTTTTGTCTTAACAAGGGTGGGTTTCCATGTCCTTCACACTTTGAATCTGGCGGGATTATGGTATTGTAGTGCAGAAAGGTCAGTGTTTGTTGTTTTCCCCTCCTCCCTCTCCTTTTTTGGCTGTCAGTTTACTTTAAATATTGTTATGGTTTCATGTGTGGTTTTGACTTTTTATTTTTTTAACAGCTCTGTCAACAATAGTAATAAAGTGACTTTTGGGAAACAGACTTCAATGCTGATGCATAAGGCCCTCTATTAATCTATGGTCTCGGATCAGGTCTCCTAAGCCGCTGTTCTTTGAGTACCAAGCAAGCTCTTTGCCCTGATGTTTGAGGGCTTTTTACTGAGAAACATTTTCTAGGGAAGAAACACCTAAATTGAAACTTTGAGATCAGGCCTTGATTGCGGGATGAAAAGAACATACACAACTCTGTCCAGCCTTTCTCTAGTCCTACTGCTTAGACCTTGTCTAAGGGACAGGATGTGAGCTTATATCTGTGATTACCGTTTATGCCATTGTTTCTGATTACAGCCTTGCTATGTGAGATAAACTTTTGTGTTCTGTTTTGCCCTGTTTGAAGGAAGAAACTCCAGTTTTAAAATCCTGAGATGTGCTTTGGGTTATGCACCTCTAGGGCAGGAAATTCAGAAGGGCACAGTAATTAGTATCAGTATTTGGTTTCAAGAGTCAAAACAAGGACCTAGTGTCAAGTTTGAGTCTAACAAATGAGACTGTATCTATCCCTGATTCCTGGTTGATGCCCTTTTAAGGTAAGAGGGCAAGTTGCTTGATATTGAAGACTTAGGAATTCGTTGTGTTCTCCCACTTCAGCAAAATCACAGCTATATCTATAAAAGCTTTTACAAACTTCTTAAGCATGGTTTGGATTTAGACTACAAGAAGTCTTTAGGAAATGAGAAGTTGTGTTTAAAAACATGACAGTGTTTTGAAGTGATCTTATTTTCATGATGAACTTGTAGAAATGTACAGAGCTCCTTTGTTAAAATAATGTGTAACATGGGCTGTTAGATTTTGAAAACCAATGCTAATAATCTTTCATGATACAGAACTTGAATTACTTTTCTTCAATTTATTGATGTATTACAGGCAAATGTAATGAGATGAAAACTCAGAATCTGATTCACAATCTGTTCCTTATTCTATTAATGTAAACGATATCTATTTGAATCTTTCAGGTTGTTCCAGAAGATGACATACTAAAGATAAAAGCAGTAAATCATATCCAGTCAACTTGACTGTTTAACTAACCCTTTCTTGTTGTAGGCTGGTTTTCATCTGTGCAATCATATCTATAGCATGTGCTCATATATAATGCTTTCCTGATATCCATGATGACATCCTTTTGTGCATACACATCTGAAGAATAGTAGGGGCTTGAAAGTGGGTGTCCAAGCCTATAAGCCTGTGAAATACAGAGTTGCCATTGATATTTTTCACAGAGTATGCTGAATTTCTACACTGCAAAGGGAGGAAATTTACTGAGTTTGATGAAGTTCGTCAGGAAATTGAAGTAGAAACAGATAGAATAACGGGAGCGAACAAAGGCATTTCTTCAATTCCTATTAACTTAAGAATATATTCTCCCCATGGTAGGTAAAATCATTCTACTTTATATTTCTGTCATGTAATGTATTTTTTTGGGTCTGTCTGTCTAGCTATCTCCTTTTGTATGTGTTCTCATTCCTCGATCAGAAGTCTTCTGGGATGAAAAAACTTCTGAGACTGAGTTGAATGAAAAGTGGATATATATCTGGAAGAATCCTCAACTTTTCCTGTGTTACAAACCCAGTCTATGGTGGAGAGCTGTTGCCACTAGAGCTGGGCAGAACACAGACTCTCTGTCCCATTTAATATTCTCATGATTTAAAAATATTCTCACTTTGCATCAGGATGAAACTAATCTCTTCCCCAGTCCATATACCATTAGTTAGTAGCTCACTAGTAAAGACAAATAATAGGGTATGGGAGACTTAGTGGCAAAACTTCTTTTTGCCACCCTCCAGATGGATTCCCTGATCAGTGATCTAGAAAGTCATTATATCTTCCTGCCCTATTAGATGTTTATTGTTCGCTGTCACTAAAAATATATTTAGACAATAATGGTGTTTGAAGCTGCTTTCTGTTGTAGACCCCCAGTATAGATCAAAGTTAGTTCCTCTGGTTGCCATCTGCCCAATTTAATGAAGGCAATCTAGAGAAAATGTTTTGCATTGAATCTGTCTTGGATACAGGAGAAAAGTGGTATGTTTGGCTGAAGCACTTTATTTTCCTAACCACCTCATCTAATGTCTTCATTGCGAATCAAAGGACAGAAAGATTAAAATAAGAGGAGAGGTAATTAAAGAGCTGCTGAACATCCCTTTGATATACCGTGAGCAGCCTTGGCTCTAAACATGTGTCTCTGAGCCCTTCTCTGCTATACAGATGTGGCATAGCCAACTGGAGAGGAGCTAAACTAAATGCCCTGCCTCAAAGCTTGTTTGTTGAACATGCTGACTCCAGGAGAAAGTGAAAATTTCCTATCTAATGCTCTTTGTTTTATTAGGATCAGTCTTTTAGTTCAGCAACTGTTGTCTATATTAGCCAGACCCCAAATATACTTCTGGTGTTTCCTTTCTAGGAATTGCATTTTTCTCATTTGTCTAAAGGATACCCTGTTACCCCAGTACTGGCTGAACAAGCTAGGGTGCCTCTAGTTGGCATTGTGGCCTGTACTGGGGAAATCATGCCAGAGCAAAACAGGTTTTCTTAATGGATAAACCTTTTTGTGTTTCTTAATTTTCTTAAGAAGTTACAGAGTAAAAAAAAAAAAAAAACCCAAAAAACCAAAACAGCAACATACCCCAAAGCCCCTTAACAACAATTTTGCTATATAAGTTAGGCTAGCTATTGACTTTTTTTTTTAAATTTTCTTAATTGGAGAGACTGTTGAAAGCATGGTCAGAGAAGGACTGTATTTAAAAAAAAAAAAAAAAGCCGGTTTTCGGTTGATTTGAAAGATGCAGTGGGAATGGTCTGTTGTTTGTGCTCCTGTTGGTGAAAAAAGTTCAGAAAGCCATGTTCATTTGTCTAAGGATATTTAGTATAAGTATTCTGTGCCAGTTGTAATGTTTAAAATATTAAATAGCACTAATAAATCCAGAGATGAAAGACCAACAGGGAAACAAGTGTACTTTTCAGACTGTCAGGCATTTTGTTTGAACCATTGACAATATTTATGTACCTATAAAGGTAATTATGTGGGGTTTTATGTAACTAAAATTTGTCCACAACCATAGATGCGTAGCTCTCTTTACACGTCCTGCATGCTAACCAGTTTTATGATCCTGTGTTTTCCGTATAGTATTAAGCCTGACTCTCATTGATTTGCCGGGAATCACTAAAGTGCCAGTAGGGGATCAGCCTCCAGATATTGAGCAGCAGATCAGAGACATGATAATGCAGTTCATCTCTCGAGAAAACTGTCTGATACTGGCTGTGACTCCAGCTAACACCGATCTGGCCAACTCAGATGCACTGAAGTTAGCTAAGGAAGTGGACCCTCAAGGTAAGCATGATTGAACGTAACCACTTTTTGTTCTCAAGTGCAATAACATAATTGGAAGTAATTGATCAACTCTTGTGTGAAATATAATATATAATATATATGTGTATATATACATTCTCATATAGGCTTCAACATCATAATAACTGTTTGTTAGCTCAGTGTAATTCAGGTAATGATGCTGTGAAAGTATTTTTAAAATTTTGTCACTCTCTTATTAGCAAGTGGGGCAATGCCTACCTAGAAATTTTTGTAGTACCTAGCAAAGTGGACCGTAGTGCTGATGGGATTTCTGGATACTCGCATCATAAATTTTATACAGTCATATCACAGGAATGCTGAGCCTTGTTAAAGAGATTTGAGGAACACATCTCAGCACTGGCAGTGATGATCCTTTCTTTTCCAGACATACCACAACTTGCAGTGGTAGTTGGTATTGTGTGATACATGCTTCGAGAATATCACAGACCTGTTATTATATAATTGTAAGATGTAATTGTTCTTCCTGAATCATAGAATCATTAAGGTTGGAAAAGACCTCTAAGATCATCAAGTCCAACCATTAAATGATTCTTCACTATCTTTTTTCCTCCTGCTTCCACCCCGGTCAGGACTTAGGACCATCGGTGTGATCACAAAATTGGATCTGATGGATGAAGGAACAGATGCAAGAGAAATTCTAGAAAATAAATTACTACCTCTTCGTAGAGGTGAGAATGTTCAGTTGCCTATATTCTTTGCAATCCAGAAGGTGCTTTGGATAAGGGTCGTTTTTGGGAGTCCTGGAGATGAATCAAAGGTTATTCTGGACTTGATGAGTTCCTAGTTTTTATCGTCATCTATTCAGCAAACATAAAAGGGGGCTGTGCTAAAAATATCCTGCAAGTAAAATAAATTTTTTTCTGGACATGGAAAATACACTGCATATTCCAGAGGAAACAAGAAATGTCAGCACAAGTTGATAGTCAATTTTCTTTTCTGTGCCAGGTTGCTGTCCCAAAGGAATCTTTTCTTTCTTTGCATATGACTGAAGCAAGCACCAGAGTTTTGGCAATCTCACTGTAAACCAAGTTTTGACCCCTTCCAGAAATTTTCCATGTGATTGTTCTGGCAGCTACTGTCACAGTTGCTCATACTGTTAACAATATCAAAAATTTTGATTCTAGTTATAATTTATTGATGAGATCACCATCTCCTCCCATGGAGCATGTTGGTCCAGCGAACGAGAATAAATTTTCCTGTGTTTTGCTAATTTCGTATAATTTACCTATGTAGACCTGGGTGTGTGTTTTGATTTTGTTTTGGGTTTTTTTTGTTTATTTTTGAAGTGGTTTCTTTGGGGTACACTAAAGTTTCAGATATTTGTATTTGAATCGGTGATTTAAAAGAAAGTATATCATAGAATCATAGAATCATTAA